CATGCTGCACTCGTGGTGTCAGGCTGCACTCGTGGTGTCAGGCTGCACTCGTGGTGTCAGGCTGCACTCGTGGTGTCAGGCTGCACTCGTGGTGTCATGCTGCACTCGTGGTGTCATGCTGCAGTTTTGGTTCTCTGCTAAAATCTGGGTATTACACAGTTGAAAAGCCTCGCCCACAAAGAATCCAGCCGGCAGCCTCATAAGTGATCTCACTTCAGGTGTCTGTCTCTTCCTGTTCCTCCACATCACCCCATCCAGCATATTGGAGAACCTTCACCCTGCAGCACTGGATGTCCGACACCTCTTAAATAGTGATCCACTTCACACAGCCATTCCATTCAATGCCACAAAATGGCCCTTCACCATGACACCATAACAGACACAAAGGAGCCTCTCAGAGATAATGTACTGCAGCTCCCCTCCCTGCACATAAGAGGCATCAAAAGTGCCTTTGAAACAATGGCAATGGATCAGCGGTGCAAGGTATGAGAGACAGAGGTTCTACAACCAACGAAGCAATGCCATAGTGTCACGATAAGCCAGGACGACCCAGACACTGCAAAAGACAAACATACAGAAACAAAAGGACGCGAGGGGTCAAAATAAGAGGCAGGGAGTAACAATAAGGAGAGTCTATGGCTAATCTCAGATAGGGGCAAGGTTCAGGGCAACGAGGCAGAGGACACATTAACTAATTAAGGTGAGGAACAGAGCAACACCAACCACTACAGGCGCTAACATTGACAGTGACTGAACATCACACAGGGGGATTCTAATATACAGGGGCAACAAGGGCCAGAAAACGGCCAAATGTGAACACTTAGAACCCAAAGTGGAAGAAACGAGATGGCCAGCAGAGACCTCTGCTGGCCAAATGGGAACATGACACGATTGACAGGAACAGACCATGACACTTGGTGATTGCAAGGACATCTCTAAGACAGATTTTTAGGCAGTTTAACCAGTCACTCCACCTGGGACCTGAAGATGTCATAGAAGTATAGATTTTCTAAATAGGGCCTTTGTTTTAATGTCCTTCACCAGATAGGATGGAAATCAATGATGCAGACATCATTTAAAGTTGGCGTCTTCATAAACTTTACTGCAGTTTGAAAAGTTGGATTGTAGAAAAGGCTTTGAGCCTGTTTCAGAGTTATTTGGCCGTTTTATTTCTAACAACATAAAGGCAAAGGTTTCTGTCTCATTCCTAATTTGATGATCTAATTCTCATGAGAATGGCTTCCTCTTCCAGTGTCGTACGTCGCAGAAAATTGCTTTTGAAACACAGCTGAGCTTTAAAATGGACTGACACACCTGAGACGTGCTGAGCGTGGACAATGTTTTCTGTGGGATTCCGAATGTTATACCACAAATGCATCTTTCTTCTATAACAAGGCTGTACATTCCCAACACAACTGAATTTACGTGTTTATATCTGAAGCTGCTGCAGTATTTTTACTTATTTGCTGAATGCTTATTGTTTCCTACATTTTCATAAATACCCGTTCTTTGCATCCCACAGCCATGCTGAGATACAGGACACTAACCCCAGGGCAGCCAGGACATCATAACATTCCTGCTTTTACAGCTTCTCTGAGTTTCAGGCTAATGGGGTAAGTGTGCTGCCTGTGGACACTAAGCTGCTCATCTTAATGTGTCAAAAATAATATTCACAAAAAGCCTTTCTCAGTGACAGAACTGATGTTTCTTTTCAGAAACAGGATCGATTTCAGCATGCTGTGTTTTTAACAAGCTTGAAGCGAGTGATACGAACACTGTGGGCAATCTTGGCCCAGAGCATTTCGAAGCTAAAAACCGGGGCCTGAGTAACTAATCTCAGTCTAGATGTTGCTCTGGTACTGACAGGCAGACCGCTTGTGAAGCCCCCATATCGAGGGCAGTCGTGCCCCCTCCCCTCTGAGCAGGCTTCGGGCTGGCCACGTCCACGCTCTGCTGGCCTAATGAGCATGTTCAGTCACCACAGCCCTACATGGACACTAGGAATGCTTTGACATCCGAGTCTGTGACAGGAACGGCCCCAGATCCTCAGCCCACCACAACTGTCCCTGTGCTCCCTCAAGGCCTGATGAGTACCAGACCCAATTAATACCGTGAGTAACACTGTATACCCTATAGGGAATGGCTCTGTGACTCCGTGACTCCATAGCTCTGTGGCCCGGTGATTCCTTGGCTCTGTATCTCTGTGACTCCATTGCACGGGGGCTCTGTGACTCCGTGACTCCATAGCTCTGTGACTCCATGACTCCATAGCTCTGGTACTCCGTGACTCCATGACTCCATAGCTCTGTGACTTTGTGGCTTTGTAGCTCCCTGGCTTCATCGCCCAGCTCCCAACTCCTGGCGGAGGAGCCCACAACAATTTTCCATCCTGAATGCAACCCGATGTCATTGGGAAACAATACATAACCTCCAAAAGAAGTCATTTAATTTTCTTAGATGTCTGAGTCCTGTTACATGGTCTGCAGCACATTTGGATAATATGGGAGTAACTCGATTACATGTCACAAACGCAGAAAAGAAAAAATATTCTGGAATCTGCTCAGGTATATAACAGGCACTTCTGATTGTAAATCAGCACACCAAAGGCAAAGATTTAAATCCAATTCCTGACCCTTCTGGAAATAAATTACACCTCAGAGTGCAATATATTTTTGCTGGCAGTCCCTGATTTAAAGATATGTAGCTCAGTGTTAAAGTTTAAAATTGAATATTTGTCAAATGATTACATGTCTTCATATTTGTCACTTGTCATTGCTAGTTGTCACTTATCAACAAATATAACTGTTTACAGAGTGTTTTTTGTGAACCCAGTTATTGGCAAGACATATTAGCAATGACCTGCTAATTTCAGTATTTTTATGAACTTTTGCTGTCGTACACAGAGTATGAACCATATAGTTTGTGTAGTTACAAACTAGCACAGACTGAAGCTAAGTCTCTCACTGCTGTGTCATTAAATGCTCATTTCCTTTGTTGTTTTCCTGTCCTTGCGTTTTTTATGCTTGATATGTTTCCTGTCGTCACACGCATATCAGAGCAGTGTCTCCACCGAGCCCCTAAACGGTGTAGCTGATGCCTTCATGGGGTCCACGGGGATAACAGACAAACCCAGGAAGCAGAAAGCAGGGTGACAGGCACACTGCGCGGCTGTAAGCCATTAATCAGAATCAATCACTTGGGTACGTCCCATGTCAGAAGACTGCTGTTCCTGCCAGAGCCTACAGGCACGTAAAAATAAATGCATAAATAAATAATGAGGTATTGTGGCTGCTTGTCACACGGTTACCTCAGTTTGCCAGGCCTCCTCCTCATTCAGCCCATCAGCTCCACTTTCTGCTCAGCTCATGTCCTCAGTCCTCACCCACATGTTCTGATCAGCATGCATATTTTTGAAGCCCATACACATGTTCGCTACTGAGATGCTATTTATCTCTCCTGTAGTACACAGAAATATATATGAAAGCAAACTGTTGTGAGATGGAGATGAATTTGAAATGAAAGGTCACCCCATCCTTTTGATACTCACTTCTGGAGACTTCCTTTAATTCAGTGGGTCACAAGGGGTGACATTTTCACTTCCTCCTAACCAGAGTTGCTGACTTTGGTCAGCTGACTGGAGTGAGTTTTTCAGTTTGAGACGAGGCTGCTCAACCATGCACAGACATTTACATGCATGTAAGTTTCCGACAAACAGCTTGATGTGACTGAATTATTTTTATATTTTTATCACAATTGTCACTTCGGATTTTATTTGTGTTTAGGGCAGCAGTACAAGCAGTTGCCTGTGTCACACCGCCAGCACCGTGACTGTACCATAGGACCATGCATAGTGTATTTTTTATTTTATTACTGAACAGTATTAGTGGAGATATGATAACGTTAGAAGAAGGAAGGAGGAGGGGGAAGCGCGCCGAGGGAGGTGCCAAATGGCACAGCGCGCCATTACCCAGAATGCCCCTGCGCTTGAATGCAGCCGCGGTTTTGGTGGAGTAATGGACGGCTGTGTTGCGGTAATGTGTCTCATAAGTGCATGTCACGCACATAACGTGGCTTTTTAGCTGTATCGTCGGCGTTTTTCACCTTTAAGAAGCGACATACGTCGGCGTGCGGGGTATCCCGTTAGTTAGTGACACGCAAGGGCGCATTTAACGGACTTAACCAGCAGACGGAATAGGTGTTACTAAGCGGCTAACTTTGCGCTGTCGGAGGCGTCCACAGCTTTTCTGTTGGTTCATTGGCATGACTTTTATTTTTCTTCAAAACAATGATGTGGGTTAGTTAACAGGTACCGTGGTCAGTTACTTAGTTACTGTCGTATTTTATTATAGCCGGTGAAAAGTTGACATGTGCTGGTCGGGGTTGGTGTGTGTTACGTATTCACGTGTATGTATATATGTTTTTCAGATCGCTGTAGGTGAAAGTATAGTTAATGCTGCGGATCCGTCTTGTAGCCGCACTCGTACTTCAGCAGTGAGTGTGTCGGGGTTCTGGGTTATGAGGCGTGACCGATTGGTGCTGTTATAAGACGGCATTTATATTGATCTGACCCTGCTCGGTGATCACACGTATTTGATCCTGATACACCTGTAAGGACTGAAGTCTTTTTCAGAGTAAATATTTATATATCCAGAGCAGTGTGCAAGGAGAGTACAATTTTGCAGTGTGAAGATCCATGTTTTTTGGGCTTTAAGGTTGTATCTTATTGGGATTTTTTTTGGGGTGGCGGATTTAAAGCGGCAGTAAGAGCTGTTTGCCTGGATTTGGGCCAAGGTGTGAGAAAGCTGGCAGCACGATTGATACCCTAGGTTGCCGTGGTTCTGGCGCCAGGAGCAGAAACGCACGGTCTGACTTTCTGAGCAGAGGTACATGGCTGCAGAAGGTTCCTCTGACTTTATGGAGCGATGACATCACTGCTTAGTTGGTTTCCTGAGGGCCAGTCTGCAGACCTGTCCTGTTTTTTTTCTTCCTTTTTTTTTTTTGCTTTAATTGAGCTGATTTGAGTAGATCCTTTAAGGAACCGACAGGTTGCCATTATAAAAAGCCTCTGCCAAGGGCTCATGTTTAACTTACCATCTGATGCAGTCCCTTGGCCCTTCTGGGTTTAAAGTGAAAGCAAGCATCTGTTTTCTTGTGGTTTTATGAAATGGAAATGAAATTTAAAAACCCAGATTGACTTACATTATTTCTTGCTTTCAGGACCTGCTGTTTGATTCAGGGAGCCTGTTCTGCCTTCAAATGGCTTCGTTCATTATATTATAATGTAGTCTTTAATCTCGCGGATTTATCCACGGGGGACGTGCCGGTACCTCCATCTCATGTTGGCGTTCGTCATAAGCGATACCTGCAGCTACCGCCCCAGCCCATTCCTACTTTGTGTGCAGCAAACGTTAATCCATCAAATGCGCTGCTGACCCCAGTTTTGGGGTGAATATGGGCGGAGTTCTCCCGTGTAAGGGATAGATTTCCCGGAGGAGGCCTAATGACCTTTGAAGTGTTTTCTAGACAGATTTTGTAATTCATGAATATGAAGTGCATTCTGCTTCTCGGTTACACGACTAACAAAGCCTTCTCCTCCTTAGTCTCAGGAGTTGCTAAGGAGAGTTTGACATCTGGAGCGCAATGACGTCAAATCCCACATCTGCTGCTGTCCTCAAAGGTATGGTTGTCCCCAGTGTTCTGGGAAACCCATGTCATGTTAGCAGGGAAATGTCATTTACTCCACTTCAGGAGAGCCCGGAGCGTGATGGTGGGCTCGAAAGCAAGTGGTGTCTCATCTGCATCATCGCTTCTTTTCCAGATGTTGTCGCGTTTGTTGACGTCTGGTCCTCCAGCAAAACAGAGAATTACTCTAAACCTTTCATTAAGCAGTTACTGGACATGGGGGCAGAGGTAAGAGCAACCTGCTTGTGCTGCAGTTTATGGAGTTCTGTCGTAGTGGGCTTAGGATCCAGGGCAGGGATACAGATGAGACCTGGAGCTTGCCTCTGGAGTTCCCAGATTGCAACATGGGATATGTAGTGTGTGGAGGAAGTATGACAGTCCCAGGGCAAGGGGATCCCAGAGCTCATTGGCTGTGTATAGTGGTTCCACATTGCAGATGCTCGCCTGATGACGCGTCTCGCGTGAAATCAGGGTATTTCAACATGATTTCTTCATGTTGAAGCTGAAGCTATGATAGAACTCAAATATACAAAGGTGCTTATCAGACTCCTCTCTTTGCAACAACCCCAGGTGTCCAAGACATTTAACAAGCAGGTAACCCATGTGGTCTTCAAACATGGCCGTCAGTCCACGTGGGATAAAGCCAAGCAATTGGGTGTCAAGCTGGTTTCAGTGCTCTGGGTGGATAGGTAAGCCTCTGTCTGTCTGAGTAAATGTTATAATGGTAATCAGGGTTTATACATTGGCTATGAATGGTATGGTCATTAAAACTGAAGTTACAACTAAACACCTATATGAGATGATAAAAGTATTGGGACCCTTGGCCATGACACCTACAGGAACTTTTATGACATCCCATTCTAAATCCATAGGCATCGATATGGATTTGGTTCCCCTTTTGTGGCTATAATTTTGGGAAGGCTTTTGGACGAGATTTTGAAGTGTGTCTGGGATTTTTTTGCACATTCACCCAGAGGAGCAATTGTGAGGTCTGGCACTGCTGTTGGACATGAAGACCTGGCTCACAATCTTTGTTTTAATTCATCACAAAAGTGTTTGATGGGGTTGAGGTCAGGGTTCCATGTGGGCCAGTCAAGTTCTTCCACACCAAACTTACCCAATCATGTCTTTATGAACCTTGTTTTATGCACTGGGGGACAGTCATACGGGAACAGAAAAGGGGCTTCCCCAAACTTGGAAGCATACAATTGTCAAATTGGTCAAATTGTCAAACTCCGGTCCTGCAGAGTTACCGTCCAGTAGGTTTTCTATCCCACCTGGCTTTTGTTGAGCCACACCTGTTCTCAGGTAAATACCAGGAACCAGGGTAAATACCTCATCAGAAGCCAAGTAGAATAGAAAATGTACTGGATAGTAGCTCTCCAGGACCGGAGCTGGAGACCCCTGCTTTAAGAGTTCCCATAACTGGAACTAGGGAGCCTAGCCCAGCCCCTGAAAAACAGCCCCATGCCACTATCTCACTTTGACCAAACAGCTGTTGGCTCAATGCAGTCAGGCAGGTAACGTTCTCCTGGCATCTGCGAAACCCAGACTCGTCCATAAGGCTGCCAGACAGAGAAGTGATTCCTAAACACTTCCACTTTGCAATAATATCACTTACAGTTGGCCGTGGAATATCTAGCAGGGTAGAAATTTCAAACTGCTTTATTGCAAAGATGGCATCCTATAACAGTACCATGCTAGAATTCACTGAGCTCTTCTTTCGCAAATGTTTCAAAACCACACTGCATGGCTAGGTGCTTGATTTTAAACAACTGTGGCAATGGGTCTGAATGAAACTCCTGAATTTAATTATCAAGAGGTGTTTCTCAATACTGAATACTTTTGCCCATGCAGAGTAAATGTGAATTTCTGGCTTTTTTTGGTCTGCGACGTGCTCATAACAGCAGCCAGTAGATGGCACTAATGGTTCAGCTGACAAGTTAAAGTTTTGAAAAATCTTGTGCTTTGTTTCCAGGTGTAAAGACAGTGGTAAACATGTCGATGAAGGTTCATGTCCGGCGATACATGAGGAGAGCGTAGCAAATAAAGTTCCCGGTAAACGAACGGTAAGATTCAGTTGAAAAACCCAAGGCCAGATGCAGAGTGAGAAATTCAGGTTGCCCGTTTGACTTAGAAACCCATGTCTTTTGGGACCCAGGTTTCCTGTTTTAAATGACTCCAGATTAAGGAGAATGCTTACAGAGGGTCACATGCAGAGACCAGCTTAAACGTGCAGGCCCATTGGCGCACTGGACACTGTTTACGGCAGTGAGGGCCAGCTAACACTGTGTCTCCTTTCACCGCTTAAGCATCGGTGCATGCAGCCCAGGGACGTCCCAGAGGTGACCCCAGAAAACAACTGGCGCATGAAGAGGAAGCTGGATCGCATGATGAAGGAGCTAGTACCCTCCTCACCCGTCTGTAAGTCACTCGGCGTCCGCGGAGCCCCCTCAGGCTCCCCTCTGCTTACATCACTCGCCGTCTGCGGAGCCCCCTCAGGCTCCCCTCTGCTTACATCACTCGCCGTCCGCGGAGCCCCCTCAGGCTCCCCTCTGCTTACATCCCATCTGCCTGTCCCCCTGCCAGTTTCGGATGTGTCACCCTTCCTTATCGACGAAGAGAGTGCCATCGTGTACAGCCCCTCGTCCAGGAGGGCAGATGCCATGGCAGAGCGTTTGAGGCAAATGAAGCAGAGCCGGGAAAACCTCTCTCCGACGGGTGTGTGGAGCCGTCGCTCACCCTGATCCCGCTCGCTGCCTTTGGGTCCGACATATATATAGCTAGCTTATGTTCAGAACAATTGACCCGTATTTGTTTGGCTGTTAAAGAATCCACTTAATTAAAGCAGGGTAATTTTCATCAGCGCAACCTCGTGTCACTTGACTTGATGGGGGTAATGCAATTTTACGTTGGGGTAGGAATGGGGGGGGTTGTTACTCGGATGGGAAACAGCCAAACTGTTATGTTGTTGTACCACTAGGGGGTGTTCAGTCCCAATTAAATAGGCTTTTTAAAATACAGGAATCCTTAATACAAAGTGACATTGTATTTGAAAGACAACTGGCACAGAGGGACAGGGAGTATCCTTCATGTGTGACATATAGCCAGTTACACACACGCTGGGCCCTCTGCATTTGCCTCTGGGTAACTCCCTGTGAAGAGCGTATTTCTTTACTAGTACAAGTGACATGCGGGGACCTGGACTGTCCATGAGTGTGAACGTTGGTTTATGTGTCGTGACGCTCTCTCAGCCTCACAGATGACCACATCGCAGTCATCACCACAGTTTTCCTTTGACAAAGCCCGTCTGATTGAGCTGCCCTGCACCTCTTTCTCACAGGAAGGTAATGCAGTAAATGCTCTGGTGCTCAGACCTGCATGCTTATTTCTGATCTGTTGTGGTTTGTAGACTGACGTGACTTCTGTGTTGCAGATGAGGAGTCTGAGTGTGACGTATCTTTTTCTGGCCTCCGTACAACCTTCACGCTTGATGGTGAAGAGGCGCAGAAGCAGGGCTCCACAAAGGTGCCTTGTGAGGAAAAAGCAAATATTAAAAATAAGGAGACCAGCACGAGGTCGCCATCAAATTCCAATGTCAAATCAGCCCACGAGCAAAGGAAAATGCCAGGCCTCGATGCTTTGGTCACGGATGAGCAGGGAGCCCGAGCTGCAGATAAAAAACCCAGGAGATCAGCCATAATGAGAAAAGGTAGAGGGAGACTGACTAAGGCTGTGGTTCTTGGGGGAGAATCAAACAATCAAGACATCCAGACAACCCTGAAAAGCAGAGATGAATGTAGGACGCCCACGCTTGTACCGTTGGGGGGTCACATGCGAAAGGGAGGCAGCCAGACAATTCTGGAGCCCCAAGATCCTGCCGTACACGTCTGTGGGGCTTCTTTGGCCAAAAAGGCAGCGGAGGCAGACTCGGACACGAAGTGGAGACCCACCCTGCCTCTGACGTCTGCTCTCGGGCCAGAGAGGTCCTTGGGTGCTAATGATGCAGGGAGCCCTGGTACACCAGCACGTTCTTCCACGGCAGACAATGAAGGGGTGTTCGAGGATTACTTCTCTCTGGCTAACCAGCCAGACCATAGTGGCCATAGGTGTGCCCTCCCCGCCTGCCTGTCCCTTGAATCAGAGTTTGTGGCACTGCCTCACCTGGAGCTAGAACCTACCTCATGTAAAAGGAAGAGGACCAAGAGTAATATCAGGGGCAGGAAAAGGCGCCAAGCCCCCGACAGTGCCACCAGTGTCATTTTGGACGGGAATCTGGGCAGCAGAGAGACATCTCAGGCCTCCCTCAGTGGAAGCAGTGGCCATGCTGCTAGCCAGTCAGATGGATTGACATTACTGGGCCCAATCGCAGTGTGTGAAGGGACCAGTGAGAGGGAGGAGTCTTGTCTTCTGGTCTCCAAAGAGGACGGCGACTCGAATGTGGAAAGTATGTGACGTCAAGGACTGTGTGCTTTTATACCGACCTAACACTGCTGCTGCTGTTTATGTGAATAAAGTACCTAGATTTAAGTTGTCTTCCAATAAACTCTCTCGACTAGTGTGGAGTGTTTCTTAAATGGTCTGCCTTGCCTTATTGAGCGTGTGTATGTGTGACCGTTTGAGCTCAATAACTAACCATATCCTTCAGCAGGTAGTTACAGCAGAAGCATTAGTTAGCCACCTGGTTGTGCTCCTGTCGTATGTTTTGTTAAAGGCACATGCTTGCTTGCACATGCACAGAATTATGGGTACTGGTTACTCCACAGCTGTCTGCTCTCTTCAGTGCACCTGTTTGTTGTCGTTAGTTACTGCCCCCCCCCCCCTTTCTCAGAGCTAACAATTGCCCCCCTTTTTGTGTTTTTCACTGCTTTTGGTTCTAGGCGGCAGGACTGCGTGTGTGACTGATGTAAGCTGCAGCCCCTCCAAAATGTTTAGCAAGCGGGAAATGCAGGACAAAAATGGGGGATTGAAGGCCCATGAAAAGAGGAAGGTAAAGTTTTGCTTTTGGTAGTAGATTGTAGGCCGAAGATATTATTCAGTTGTGTTCTGTGGGTGGCATAGGGCCAGCAGGTGCCGGCGCTCTATTACAGTGAGTCTTCTGGGCTGAGTGGGCTCAGCCTGAATTAACTCCGAAACACTGCAGATTTCACACTGAAAGCTTAACCTGTGGCATTAAATACATTTGGAGTGAGTCATTTGATGGGAACAGTTAAGGTCTGAGTTAATTGCTGTGTTTATTGATGCTATTAGAGACTTAAGTGAGTTTTCTGGTTCTGGGTTTCATGTTTTTGTTCTGTAAGTTAGTCCTGCAGTGCCCGTTTTCATGGAGCGAGGGAGGGAAGGTGTCGTTACGTGTGGCCAACAGCAGCAGGAGGAGAATCGTTAAGGTCATAGCTCCTTTTCAGTCTTAGTGATGGGCGAAGGGTGCCTTTGATGGTGCTGCTGTGTGTGGGTGTGGGTGGTGCTGTTGACTTCCTGTCTCCATCTGCTTTCTCATTGTTCCACATTCCTGTTCCCTGTGAGCACCTGCTCTGCATAGACGCAGGCTTTTGTCTCTGCGTCACATGTGAGTCACGCCCACGCGAGTGCATATCCAGTGGAAACGGGACCACCGTTGATGGAGATACTTCTCCATGGGCTTAATAGGGTGTGTTGCGGGTCACTGGTCAATAAGGTGCTGTAGTCATGGATATACTTCACAAATATGAGTCTTAAAAAGTCACATGAGAACCAACCCCTCTGTCCCCTGGTGTGGGAGTGGCCTGTATTTGCTCATAAATGACCATGCTTAGATGATAAAGCTGAGATTTATAGCCCCACTGAGATAATATTATCGAGGTTTCAAATGACTTCCTTTAAAAAGTCATTTATTGCAATGTTGGTCGTCGTATGCATATGAAGGAGGTGTCAAAGTTATTAGCTTCGAGACATTAGTGTCTCTCATGTGAGCGCTTGGTATCATTCCCTCTGGAAACTGGACTAATTGCTTTTGTGACATATTAAGACCGTGACTTCAGTTAACTTGTATATTACTGTGCCTTTGCACATTTTCACTTGTGGTCGTAAAGTTACACAGTATATTGCGTGCCTGTTGAACCAGCCTCTTATCAAGGCGTGTCTTGCGATAGGTAATCGAGCTGTTTCTGCTGTAGGTCCTCGAGGTCAGGATCATGAGATACACCGTCATTCCGGGTCAGGTTGCCCGCTGACTTCATCGGTTGTCGTCCAAGTCGGGGGCGATTTGCACGCCTGCCTTGTTGTGTCTCAGCGTGCACGTCAGGAAGTCACACGTGGTTCCCGTCCGCTGAACCCAAAAGGCGTGTTTGCTTATTGTTTTGCATACATGTAAGGCCCCCACCAGTGAGGAGTCGGAGTTCTGCGATGGCCGCCCGATAGGGGCCTCATTCTTCAGAGCTGGGAGCTCACTGCCGGCCGTGCGTAAAGGACCTCACGGGCCAGCCCGGCTAGACCCGGCCTGGGGTGAAAGCAGCCCGTAGCTGGGAGCTGACCCGTGTCGTACCCGGAGTGAGCATGAATAGATCCGCTTGAGCAAGCACCAGCCGGCGCTCTGAGAAGGCCGTGTCATACTCCCAGGAATTTCCTTCGTTTGTGCCGGGTGCCATTGAAAGCCTGCTCACGCCACATTTCATGCCAGCCCTTTGTTTTCAGACCCCCTTCTTTATCCTCCATTTTGTACAGCCCACTCTGGGTGCCACCAAGACCTGTTTCATTCTAGCAGAAAGCTGGGGGCCTTGGTCCCCCCCTGACCCAAAAGGGCAGCACTTTTGGGTTCGCCCCTCAAGATGGGTGTCCCCACGATAGCTGGCCCAGCAGTAATCCTGCTGTCCCGCCCCACCAGTGCAGAGGCTGAGGTGGTGAACGCCCCCCATGGCAAGCTGCTGCTCTTTGGAGGGATTTCTCTGTCGTGATGAGTGATGCCTGAAAGCGTGACTGAGGGGAGTCTGAAATGGAGCCGCAGGCTGGTTTTTCAGCAGCCTTGGGCCTTTTCGGGTGAAGAGCAGGGAGACAAAGGGGTCTCAGTGATGTCCTGCCAAAGGCTCCTTTCATGCACTGGACTCCTTTAACGTTGTGTCTCAAAGCTGTCAGAAGGCCTTGCTGAAAAAATTAAATCACAGAGCAGTGACTTTAATTAAATAAGTGACTGATTATGTTAGGCAAGATTAACTGCTGCGCAATGAGGTAATTCTGTATTAAACCTATACTTTTACAAATTAAAGCCTTTACTTTTCATTGTGGATTTTAATTATTGCTGTGCAAGCCTGTTAGTGGTAGAAAAGACGTTTTATATTCCATCAGTGCCCACCCTGGGCCTGCTTCCACTCCCTCATTCATACACCGACAGCTTGGTTCTGCTGCAGTCCATCTCCCTTTAAAGAGGTCTCCTTCATGCCATCTGGATTTGGGCTTGTTCTAGAAAGCAGGGAAGCTCTTCCAGTTGGCGACTGTCCTCAGTGTCTCGGGGATGTGTGGCGTTTTCTGGCAGCGCTGCGTCTGTTATGGGATGGCTTTCACGGCATCCAAAACTGTGGCAACATTAACCTCATTAACACAGGTGCTGTTATGCGCCTTTGAGGGGAAATGGTGGACGATGTGCGGAAAAAACAGAACCTGCCTGGACTGGAGGGCTGCTGCCTACCTCCGAACAGGCTCCGCTGTCAGACCTTCACCCTTGCACTTCCTACTTCCTGCATGGGGCCAGAGCTTGTGTTCCTCACACAGGAAGGGCCCGGGCGTCTGCGGGGTGCTGAGGGCCCCCCTTGATGCCCGCTGTTCCTGGGGCCATGAAGCAGGCTGTGTTTCCACACCTGCCCCCCGAATGCCTCACTGCCACCCAGTTCGTTGTCCTTTTGTTGTTTTTATGCACCTAGCAGCCTTGAATTTTATTTCTGTCGGCAGCAGAAAAGAACATGCCTGTCCGTGCAGGGGACGTGTTTGCTGTTACCAAGGCCACCCCTGTGTTTCCGCTCCGCGAACTGCCGCTTCTCCGGCGTTTTCTACCCGTGTCTTTTGATCGCTGCTGTTAACCCTCTCTGTTCTTTTTTGCAGGTGAAGAGGACGTTAGTGATGACCAGCATGTCGAGTGAGTAAGTATCTCCGTTAGCACTTCTGGGGAATTGTGACCTAAGTTCACTCTCAGCAAAGTGGGTTCCTCTCGAGTAACCGCCCTGTGTCTGCGATCAGGAGGCAGAATACCGTCCAGCAGGTGATGGAGACCCTGGGTGGCTTCTCGCTGGCGGACAGTGTATGCGAGAGCACCACGCACGTGGTGACGGGCAGCCCCCGGCGCACCCTCAACGTGCTGTTGGGTATCGCCCGTGGCTGCTGGATCCTGTCCTTCGAATGGGTGGGTGTCTCCAGCAGGAGGGGTGTGGCCAGTTAGGGGGCTGGCCTTGTCACACCTCTGTCATGCCTGTCGGTGATGCTAGTGACTGTAAAAATAAGCTCAGTCCAGTGAACCACACTTGGCACTTAGCATAGGAATACCTGGCCAGTAATAACCTCTTCTTCCTCATCCACTCTTTTACGATTTGCACCATATGTCTACATTACTACATTATGTTTACAGATTATCATAATTGTACTTGTATTTATTGTCTTAATTTGTCCTAGTGCTTTGTGTTTAATTTGTGTTGTGTGGAGATTGGACAGACATGCAGAGATTTTCAGTGCATGCTGTTACCCTGTGGCAGTGTTTCTGCCTGTCGGTGCACAGCTGCTTGGTTAAAGGCTCGTTGCACATCCGCAGATCCTGTGGTGTCTGGAGCATGGTCGCTGGATCCCCGAGGAGCCCTATGAGCTGTCCGACCACTTCCCAGCAGCCCCTGTGAGTGCTCCTCCCCGTCATGGCCCTGCTACCACATGCTGCTTTCCCCAAGGCAGATGCTGTTTGCTCGCCGCGAGGTGCAGGGCGAGCTCTACATGTGTGTCTGAAGAAGGGAGCTGCACCTATAGGTGATGTAATGTGCAGCTCATGAGCCCGAGTGGAGTGAGTTAGGCTCCCTCAGTGGCTTGGGGCAGCCAGGTCACTGTCCTGTTTGCCATGAGCCTGAGTGGAGCGGGTTAGGCTCCCTCGGCGACTCAGGATAGCCAGGTCACTGTCCTGTTTGCCATGAGCCTGAGTGGCGCGAGTTAGGCTCCCTCGGCGGCTCAGGATAGCCAGGTCACTGTCCTGTTTGCCATGAGCCTGAGTGGCGCGAGTTAGGCTCCCTCGGCGGCTCAGGATAGCCAGGTCTCTGTCCTGTTTGCCATGAGCCTGAGTGGAGCGGGTTAGGCTCCCTCGGCGGCTCAGGATAGCCAGGTCGCTGTCCTGTTTGCCATGAGCCTGAGTGGAGCGGGTTAGGCTCCCTCGGCGGCTCAGGATAGTCAGGTCGCTGTCCTGTTTGCCATGAGCCTGAGTGGAGCGGCTTAGGCTCCCTAGGCGACTCAGGATAGCCAGGTCGCTGCCCTGTTCGACTTCAGCCTCTTCCTGTTTGATGGCTCCCCGCGTCCTTGCAGGACACTAAGTGTGGTGGAACGGGTTACAGAGGAAACCCATTAAGTTTATTAGCTGCAGTCATGGTGAACGCACAGCCTTCTGTCCCCTGTGGAAGTTGCCTCTTCCTGTCCTCCTTGATTCATGAATGAACATTTTCCTGCATCTGGCTCTGTGTAAATGGGAGGGGGTGTTAAAAATACCTGAATATTCCCCCTCCACGAGCAGCAGGCGGGGGCTGAGCATAGAGGCATGCAGCAAGGCCCTCCCCCCTCCTGGCTGGGCTCAGGAGGATGCATTGTCATGTGACAGCGACACTGACCTGTTTGTGGACGGCTCCCTGTCGGCATGTGATGGCCCTTGATTGTAACCCCCCACCCCCCCATGGCTTCCTGCCAGGGAGACGCTGACAGGGTGGCTGTTGGCCATACAGCCAGGTTCCTGTTTGTCTCATGCGCGGGTCATTCTAGGGGTCCCCAGGGGCCCTCCTCCCTCTAAGTCAGGGGGGGGGCATGGTGTCACGCTGCTGGTGTATTTAAGGTTTCATCCTCATGTCAACAGAATGGTATGAATGCTCCCAAAGCATGGCAGTGCAGCATAGGGGGGGTTCGGGGGCTGTAAGCTGCAGCTGCACGCTGAATTTAAAGGCTGCTCCTCTGGCTCTTTGGAGAAACGGCCGTCCTGGGGCCTCGTCCTCTGCTGGATCTGCACTGGCCCCTGGCTGAGCTCTGCGCTTTCCCTTCAGATGGGGCCGCACGTGTGTGTGTAAGGGCCTGCAGCTACAGCCAAGTTTATGGGCACTTTGGGGGGGGGGGGGAGACACACATTCTATTATAAATACATTTCATTGATGGAAATATGATTTAAAATGAAATATGAATTAAAATCAGAATTGCCTCTGCTTTCTTACTGTTGCTGTGTGTTTACTGCTATGTATAATTGCAGTTATTCTTCTAAATGAAACAGACCGCAGTGTTTCCTGTTTGGACCATTTTATTTATTCAAGTTTTTGTGAGACAGATGTGATGCAAAGCACACGTCACGCTTACATGTACAGACGTGTGTCTGGTAGGAAATGTGCAGGAGAAAAAGTACTGAAGTCTGCCATCATGGATCTCGCCTTGATGTTAGTGTGTCGGGTAACAAGCAGCACAGAACACTGCCATGAATTATGGTATTTAATGGTTAAATGCAGTTATAACCATGAACCATCATTACCCTGACAACTGCGATGACGTGTGGAGTTTCAGGACGGTAACAGACGAGCAGCTGAGTGTCTCCAGCAGCTTCAGATGTTTGTGGCAGCGAGTGAGAAGCATGTGCTTGCAGGGAGCTGACGTGCCAGACTTTAATTAGCGTGCTTGGGGCGTCCTCTTTCACACCAGTTACACCAAAGGCTTCCAGCCTCTCTGACAAGCCAGAGATGTGGGTTTTGTATTTGAATCATGTGACACAGTGATGGGTTTATCACAAAATGCCAGCTGTGTGTCGCCCAACTCGTACAAGAACAGCTCATTTTGGATGTTTGGTTTTCATACGGTTCCCGTGTAGCCAGAAAGTTTAAACGGTAATGCATGATATTCGCACATGTGCTTTTTAACACAACTGTTCGTCAACTCAAAACAGCCTCTCAGGGTTTTGTCTGCTGACAGTTTTCAATGTCCCGGCGGTTCCAGTCTCTTTATAAATAAGGTCTCTGAGTCCCTTACGGGGGTGTCCCCAAGTATGAGCCATTTGAGGCGAGTCTGTTAGCTCCCCCAATGTGTGGCTGTTTGTTTGAGTTAGCTGCGTGCATCGTTTGAGTCCTCTCACACCGGGAACCAGGCCCAATGGCCCCGCTCCGGCATACCCCCAAATCCCAGAGTAACCCCCCCCCCCCCATCCAGCTGTACTTGTTTCCCGACCGGGATTTTTCTCAGTCACACGCAGCAGACGGTTCCCTCCATGTCCGACTCGCCCGCCGCACTCCACAAGCTGGCTCAGAGCAACCAAACAAAGCAGAAGTTCCCCTTCAAATGAAAAAGCGCTACGAGAAACAGGTTGCATGGCGGCAGGTGGCCTCAGAAGTCAACAGGACGAATCATCATAGATGTGGCTTTCAGCGAGTAGCCTGAGCCTTTCCAGTAGTACCACTTGATCCCGTTGAAGCGGTTTGTGTTCTGGCCCAGTTGGTAATATATACCGTTCAGGTTGGATGGACCACAGGCATCAAACCACCAGCCTACAACAGAAACACAGTTTAGTGCCAACTTAAGACAAAATCATATTGTCATTCCCAAGTTCCTAGAGTTTAGCCTGTGTTTTTTTGTGAACCCTTGGGATAACAGGGCTGCCTGTTAAGCGGGACTTCTCCTGTTCCTTTAAGGATCTTACTGGTAGAGAAGCTGCCCGTCCTACCCGCCATTCTGGCACAGATGTTCATTCCCAGTGATTCCCAGAGGCGAGCTGGGATGCCTGAGTGACGGCCACGGGGTCAATGCCGCCAGCAAGCAGCAGGGTCACAGCAAAGAACCGGCAGCCTGCCAATCCCACACGCCCCGCCTGCACGTTGCCCAGGACATCCGCTCAGCTTCGGAGAGCCCCCCTGGTTCCCAGGCTGTTAATGTCAGTCCCTCCCCAGGCCCGCAATTCCCAAATGAGCCTCTGATTAACTCCGGCCTAATCCTGCTTCAGAGCCCTGACCTGGCAATGAGCAGGGTGGTTTTTTTTTTGTATAAGCAGAGCTCCTTTTTCGAGAGCAATCTCAAGTTCAGCTGCATGCTACCGTCAGGTACAGAGAGACAAATGCGACTTTGGAGATGGATGGCTCTCGCCGGGGGTTCTTACCTCCCGTTGTCAGCTGGGAACATTTGCAGACGCATTTGTCGTTGTCCGCATCCTTCGTGCTGAAGTCGCTTCCCGGCTGACCGAAGCTACTGGTTTTGCCCGCTGTTCCAGCGTAACCTTTAAGGTGTATCCTGTACGGTTCAACACGGGAGACAGAGTGCATGTACGGGAAGCTCGTCAGTGGGAGTGCCTGGAACGGGCTCAGTCCAGCAGCAGCCGCAATAACAGGTGATAAACATGTGTCACAGGTTTATCACAAACAGGATTTAAGCAGGAAGTCAGGGCAGCACTTTATGTGCAATGGTGCAGAAAGTCTCATGACACGTTTCTTTTGGCTGGGAAGTTTCCAGCGTTTTATCCTGAGCGGCGTGAACCTTTTTTACGTCCTGATTGCTGTGCACTCTGGGCTCACGGAGCCATTTTGTCCAGAGCATGCTTGCCAAGCCTTTGTGGGGCGAGACAGACTGTGGAAGGATTAGCGCCCTGTCTCCCCTCTGAGATTTTCAGGAGGTTGGGGGATCATAACCCCATCCCCTCCCGTCGCGTGGAAGCCTCAGGCCGGCCCTGTCACCGCCTCTATTTAGCTCAGTCTGGATCACATAGGAAAGTGTGTGGTTTTATTGATGAGGGTCCTGGAGTGTGCAGCTGTGTTGGGAGAAGGAGTCGTCATTCGCATCTCACCTGTATTTCTGGGCCTCGCTGTTTAGAGCAAACTGGTCATACTGGGAGAATGCTGAGTTCCCCTCCCAGTCCATTAGCTGGATTCTCAGGACATAAGGGTTAGGGTTGGTCAGTTGAAATATAAAGTCGTTCCCCAGCCAGTACTCTCCTGCAGGGTCCCCGAAGCCCTGCAAAATCCAGAAGGAGCCATTCGGTCATTGCCATGGCAATGTCACTCCCACTTTAGTCATGAAAGTCTTATTAGACAGGTGTGCTGGCTGGGGGATCATGCCCCCCACTCATGACCCTGCGGTGAAGAAACCACAGTCAGCACCTCACCGTCTTGTACTCGTTCCATGTGCGATGGAAATCGACTCGGCCATCAGAGCGTTTCTGCAGCACGGTCCATCCACCGCCTGCTGTTTCCATGTCGCAGTAAGCCTGGAAAGGAGTGTGTGGGGGGGGTGGTAAAGTTAGGCTCTGCCCCCTTCCATTTCAGGCCCCGCCCCCTGCCATTTCAGCATTTCATTTCATTTATGCTAATGATTTCAGGTATGAGGTTTAGAGGCTCAGTAACAAGAACACATGAACCTTGTGGGGGCTGAAAAGAAGGTGCTGGAGTAGCCTGGGTTTGCCCGCTGTTGGGGTATCCTAGGTGACCTGCCTCTAAGCCACAGCACGTATGGAACAGAGGGAGTGAATGCATGTCTTGTTTGGTTACACTAACAGTCATAGAGAACATCTGGTTTCCTCTCAAATTAAGTCCTCCTTCGTCATCTACGTGTTTTGAATGTTTTTTTTTTTTACACATTCATTTGCCCAAGACCCAGAGCAGTATTAACTCTCATTACTGGTTCCTCAGGAGAAATGTGCCTGTTTCCGCAGAATAGAGATGTTTCTCAAAGGGGGCTGGAATGTACCTTGATCCTCTGCGTGCTGTTGCCAGCCGCCAGTGTGTAGACTCCGCTCTTCGTCTTGCCTGCCTTGTAGAGGGCGGCACAGTCTTTGTACAGAGCTGAGGCTTCCTGTGTCATGGCGGACGCCTCTGCAGGGAGCAAAGCATTAATCCCCAGCATTGTGTCTGACATGGGAGGCGTACGGTCATACAAAATCTCTCATTGGTCTCTACAGTATTTCCGTATACCCATCCCCGACTCTGGACAAACAACTACATGCGGTAGGTCAGTCAGTCATATCCCCCTCCCCCACTCACTGGGCGGTATGGCGATGACAGCCACGAGGCCGTTGACGGTACGCAGCAGCTCCTCCTGCTGGCGCTGCAGGGCTGAGTTGTTGGAGGTGGCATGTCGCAGTTCCTGCACGAGCTCCTCCATGACACCTGCCTGCTGCTGCACCAGCTGCTGAAGCTGCTCCTCCTGCCCACGCAAGGCCTTCAGCTCCTCCTGCCGCTGGCCTTCCATCTCCTCCACTCGTCTCTCCAGAAAGCTGGCCCACAGGTTCAGAAGCGTCACGCGCCCTGCTCTTTCTCTGGAGCCGTGGGCTTGAACCCTGGGCTCTTAGGTCTATGGGGGCCTTAACCTTTCTCGTTTTTGATACTAAGACTCAAAAACAAGCAATTTTACACTAACAAATACAACAACTGTGTTGCTCCAGTTCCTTTTGTTTCTTTCTACAGAAGAAGCACAGGGGAATGAGAGAGAAGCAATGTTTGAAGTTTAAAACCCTCTTTACTTACTTGTTCTTGTCGTTGAGTTTGTTTATTTCATTCGTTTGAAGGAGGATCTGTTTCTCCAGTTTGTTTGTTGACAGGGAGTTTTCGAGGAGCTGGAGTTCAAGCCTCGTTGTTTGATTTATAACCTAAAAACAGCCAGAGGATCCCTTTGATTTCAGAAACAGGTCTGCTCAAGATTTCAGTCACTCGAAACGTTTATGTAATGAAGGGAGACTCGCTTTCTGTCATTATGCCATTTTCAGAAGGCCTGTGTGAGAAAATGTGATTGCGGGCTATTTCAGCTTTGTCAGACGTAACTGCTATTTAACATCAAAATCCGCCCTGAGGGTAGCGCTATGTTTGTGGATTCAGAAGTTTGGTTATTTTAGTTATTTATTGCTCTTGCTTCGGAAGATAATGGAGGCCTTTATTTTATCTGCAAAGGCAACAATTTCATGGTTAACTGAAATTCTTCAGGTTCAGCTGCAGTTGTTGTTGGGAACACCAGTGTGTTTGGCAGAGGGATTTTCTCTCGTTCCCTTTCGCTGCCCGACAAGGGCAGAGCTTTTGATGTTCTGTGGACTGGGGTGGGGGGAGGGGGGCTGTAGTGACACACCAGAGTACTTTTGTCGAAGTTTTGGCTCCGGTTGTCAAAGGGGGTAAAAGGCTTTAAGGTCTGGCTTTAACCAAACAATCTGGTCTCAGACGGACGGCTGTGTGCTGCGAGTTCACGCGGTCCAAGAGCTACTGAAAAGGCCTTTTCACGATAAAGCAGGGCCACTGATTTTCAGCATTCGAATGTAGCCTGTGTGTGGATAATGAACAGAGATGTGTGTGCAGAAAACGGTGGAAGTGTGTTAGGGGAGGAGGCATGGAAGTGTGTTAGGGGAGGAGGCTTGGAAGTGTGTTAGGGGAGGAGGCATGGGAAGTGTGTTAGGGGAGGAGGCTTGGAAGTGTGTTAGGGGAGGAGGCTTGGAAGTGTGTTAGGGGAGGAGGCGTGGAAGTGTGTTAGGGGAGGAGGCGTGGAAGTGTGTTAGGGGAGGAGGCGTGGAAGTGTGTTAGGGGAGGAGGCGTGGAAGTGTGTTAGGGAGTGAGCAGCGAGCCTTCATGGGCAAACATGACTTTTTGGTTTGTTCCTTTTTTCCTGTGTCATGAGCAATTCAGTGTTCATGAACGAGTGATGCATCACCCCACAGTCTTAAGTGCCTTGGGGAAACTGTGTTGTGAGAAGTGCTGTAGAAAAATTAATTGAATATACAGCTTTAATCTACCTTGAGGAGCTATGCTGGTAAAGTATAACACCTGAACAAGAATGTAAACATTCTTTACCTAGTGTGAAAACTAGAGATCCTTTCTGAGACAGACAGCACCCAATGTAAACTTGTGTAGTTAATCCTATTTCCGTTAAGTCTAAGTAATACAAGAATCATTTTGAACTGTTTTGGTCCCTTTGGTGACATGAATAAGAAAAGTGTCCCCCTTTACCTTGGCCTCCACGCTGGTTAGCTTTCTGGTCTGACTCAAGAGGTTGGTCCCAAACTCAATCATGGCTGCCGTGTGGTTGTGCACAGCTGTCTGCTGGATCTGCACCATCTCCTGCTTCATGCTGTCCTGGATGTATGTCTCCAGCTGGGGTGGAAACGGCAAAGAGCTCAGTGACCGAGAGGCAGCTAGGGAACATGGAGAGATGGGAGTGGAGAGCTTTGCTTAGGGGTCTCTGCTGGTGCTATCTGTAGTGCAGTGGTCCTGCTCTCTCTAAGCTATCTGTAGTGCAGTGGTCCTGCTCTCTCTA